TTAGGTAATGACGGCGAATTTATAAAAAACTTTCGACTTTCCAAAGAATGTTTCGAGATTCTTTCCATGAAAAGCAGTTCGAAAATTTTCCCGACAAAAGGGCCGGATATTTGTGCAAAAATTCGACCAAGAGCTCTTTTTGTTTTTTGGTAACAAATCCGGACCTTCTCTTATTGGCACTTGCCCCCGCACTTTCCATATCCTTTTTGCGGTATTGCCTACACTTATAGACAGAATAAACAAATATCAAGAAAAAAAACACAGAACTCCAACTAAACACGAAACTGTATGCACGGAAATAATCAAAAAAGGGTGGTAAAACGCTTTAGTGTAACACGTAGTTTCTTATAGGATGCATTCCTAATGTTGTAGTTAGCCTTTTTGGACCAATTTCAATATAAAAATATGCGGATTATATTAGTTTTCAAGAAAAATCTATAAATTAAAGTGGTTCAATTTAAAGGTGTGTTAGTTTGGGTTAGTTTGCATAGGATTAGTACGCATTACGTGGACGGGTTAGCTTGGGTTAGTTTGCATATTTTTGGTTAGTTTTGGTTACAGTTCGTATCTACTGGTTATAGGTGTACTGATTGAGAACACAGCGCGCGAAGCGGGCTTTGTTTTTTAAATTGGTATGATTAGGGCTCTCGGCAACAGGGTAGAACGCATACTCCGATTGAGTTCATTTTTGGTATACATAAAAAGGTCGCTGAAAGAAATTTTTCCAAGAAAAAATTGACCTTAGCCGTGAACTTGACCGTGACCTTGACCAGTGAAATTCACGTAAATATCTATTTATCGTGCTGAAATTATGTACAGGGTGGGCCAATTTGAACACTTTTAATAGGAAACATTATGATATTGAATATTAATTACTTATCTAAAGCTGGATACAGTGTACTGATTAACAACGACAACCAAGCGCGACAAGCTAGATAAAATAAAAATGTTCAAGGATACTAGCATGCATTTCAAGAATGGGTTAATTTGGGTTGTTTCGCATTATTTTGTAATTCTCGATTAGATAGGTTTACGGGGACTAGCACGCAGTACAAAGACGGGTAAATTCGGGTTAGTTTGCATATTTTTGATCAGTTTCGATATATCACAGTTATTGTCGGTTAAAGTGTACCAATTTCAAAAGTTCAGTAGATATTATACGCTTTATCATTACTCAATAATGTTTTTTTTTAAAAAATGCTTTGAACATTTAGCTCTTCTCTTCATTCGAATATCTACCACATGATGCTTTTTACGTTTATTAATTTTTTATCTGCTAAACAGAGCGATTGTGATATTAAGCTGATAAGAATAGATATTATATATTGATCTGTGTCAAAGGCCGAGAAGAGGATTCATTCAATATTAATAAAATCCAATTTATAGTTATTTGCGCCAACATTTTCGTTCATAAAACAATATTTTGGGATCAAACTAAACTATCTATGATATTTTTTTTGAAGGACCTTTACTGAACTGTTACCTTTTACGGCCTAAATATGTATACCAAAAATGAACTCAATCGGACTACGCCTTCTACCCTGTTGCCGAGAGCCCAAACTGAGAATGCGGAGTTGCCGTATCTCTGAATGTGTATGACCTTGAAGGCTAAAACTCGGTATATAGGTTACTTGAGATGCCTTTCAACACTATACAAGTTTTCAGCACGCTAAACTGCCATTTACGTGAATTTGATGGTCAAGGTCAGGATCAAGGTCACAGTCAAGGTCAAATGTTTTTTGGAAAAATTTCTTTTGGCGTCCTATACAGTGTGTATATTTTAAGTGATACCACTATTGCTATATCTGAAACGCTAAGAGCTACAAGGTCGGTTAAATTGGAAAAAAGTTGCCTTTTTTGATGCCCATTTAAGATTCTTTTACAGTGTTGCCAAATTCCTTTTAGTTTCTGGAATACAGGTTCATAACTAGGGCCGAATCAAGGTAAAATTTTGGTAAAAATCACTGATGATCACTTTTTAGATCCGAAACGTCGCCCAATCATACTCAAAGGGTATATCGTTAAAAAGGGGATAAAGGGTGCTTTCTGAAAATGACATAAAAAATTCAGGTCCGTATTTAAAAATATGAAGTTGATGATGGTAGCTCAATCACGAAACGTCGGATTTGAAATTTGAAGATAACATGTTGTAGAGCGGAAAAAATTATAAGACTTTCAAATTTGAATTGTGTTCCGAAAATCAATAGTTTTCGAAATAATTGATGAAATATTTTTAGGCATTTCTTAGAAATCACCCTGTATTTCATAAACTAAAAGGAATTTGGCAACAATGTAAACGAGTCTTGAATGGGCATCAAAAAAGGCAACTTTTCTCTAATTTAACCCACCTTGTAGCTTTCACCGTTTCGGATATAGCAATAGTGGTATCACTTAAAATATACACCCTGTATATGTGTACCAAAAATGAACTTGATCCGAAAACGCCCTATAGCCCGTTCCCGAGAGCCCAAAAATTACCTTTAAATTCAATATCAACATACAAGAATCGCACGCATTACGTGGACGGGTTAGTTTGGGTTAGTTTGCATACTTTTGGTTAGTATGAGTTACAGTTCGTTCAATATCTACTGGTTATAATATCTACTGGTTTAATATCTACTGGTTATGTGTAAGTAATTGTGAATGTGAATATTCGCTTACTACGGCAAAAAACGTCAATATCCGCACTTAAATTGATACAAAACCAACTGTATAAAGGATATATCAACTAATTTTTATAGAAAATTTGTTAATTTTTGTTGCACTAAAGCGTTTTACACCCCAAAAAAGTTGTTTACAATAAACAATTTCAAATTTGACATTTCAATGCATCGTTCCGTTTGGTCATATAGAATTTTCTAACAATGTCATTGGCTAGAATCTTTTACAGGACACGTTGCCAAGTTGAGTAGTGCAAATTTGAAAATTCACGATTTACAAAATGCACAAGCTTTCAAATAAGCCGATCGTGAATTTTCCGAATTCGTCGACGCACATATTTCGACCGACTACGTCGCATGTGACAGATTTGCACGGATTTCAAATAAACCCCCCCTGGTGCAAAAACTGGTGTTTTGACATTTTTTGACAAAAAATTTAAATTTTTAATTTATGAAATTCTCTTATTAAATACAACTCGTGCAATGGAAATATATTTATAATTTTCGACAAATTTGCACTCATGCGTTCTAAACTGAAAAAGGCACTCGTGCACTACGTGCACTCGTGCTGTTTTTCAACTAAAAATGCATTCGGGCAAATTTCCCAAAAATTATCAATAATTTCCATTGCACTAGTTATATTACTATTGAAATTTTTTTAAAAAATTCAAAATTAAAAAGTTTTATTTTTGTTTTAAAATTAAAATTATAATTAATTATTCAGTCTTATGCGTTGCTTTTTCTTTAAAACTATTTGTTACTTTGGGTTTGTAAATTCGTTGTTACTCTTTATTTTTGATTTCAGTCTTTTCAGCAATCCGTTTTGGAATTGCAAAAGAACAAAAATCTGAATTTAAGTCTTCTCAGTAAATCAAAAATTAGAAATTACAAAAGATCAAAAATCCAAAAATCTTAACTATGGAACACCAATTACAAAATGTATAAAGAGAAAGGTTGTACTTACTAGGCAAAGCTAATAACAGTAGTCTTTCTGCACACGTTGTTTCTTGTTATTCCTTTTACTCAGTTAACCAATTCGAAGTGGACAGTATCTGGAACGTTTAATAGCAGCACTGATAATCCAAATTTCACTTTTCCGAAGAATTCACTTTTTCGAACCTCCTTCAGTCTTTTGAAATTTTCGCGACGGATTACGACTGTTACAACTCCCGAAACTTAAGCACTCTGAGCATCCGAAAGACTGCGCCAATTATATTTTCGATTCAGAAACTTGTATTTTAAAAAACATTTATTTTATTGATTAAAATACAGAGGTGACAAAAGAAAATATTCGGATCAAATTGCTACAGGCTAAAGCCAGAAAACAAATGAACGTTCCTTATGGGACTACATCGGCTTAAATAAACATTTAATGCCGACATAGCAATTTGATGTTTACTTTACAACAATGTATTTAAAAAGTCCTAGAGGAAAGGGGTAAGCACATTAAAGCATATAAAAAATAGATAATTGATTATAAATCAGCATGGCAATTGGTTAATATAACTCGTCTACTTGCATGTTGATAAACACATACACATTTAATTTCAATGAAACCTTATCGATGCATAGAAGTCTATGAAAAAAATTATTCTTTACAAACTTCAAAAAGAAGCCAATGTGAGATTATTCGAAAACTCTCACTTGGTAAACACAATGAAAATAAGTCTATTTTATTTTTGAACTACAAACTTCAAACCTCGCCCACCTAACTATCGCGCGTCATCGTTTTCTAAGCATTTGATTTTTTTGAGCATTGTATTTTTTATTTTCAGCTTATGGTATGGCTATTTAACATTATTCTACTTTTGAGACCATGCGTAAAGGCATGCCGACCACCACGATTAGATGATCCCTAATGGCTTTGCATTAACTTTCCTAAAAAGGAGTAAAAGAAATAATTTTGGGCTACTGACTGAATATTATGAATGTGTTTCGGGTTGGTCTTTAGGTAAGATGCATTGCAAAAGGATATAAGAAAGTTAAATTAATTATTTTTGCCTGATTAAAAATTTATACATCCTATATAGGTATCAAAAGAAATTCATTTAACCTTGAAAGAAACAACGAATCAACGCTAATCGATCTTGCAGCGAAACTTAAAATTCATCCAAGCAACACAGTTCTTAATGCCAACAATGACTCATCCATTGTTTAGAATATTTTTCTTTGGCATCTCAAATAGAACTCTAGTTACAATGTTACAGTTAGAACTGCAGCGCTACAGAAAACAATCAATTAATTGAAACATGATTCAATCAAATTAGCTTTAGTACCATCGGGGGGTATATTAGATGAAGTAGGGCTTGGCTTTAGAAAAAAAAAACGGCCGATCTGTGATTGATTTGATGTTCACGAACTGTTTTTCTTGATATAAACTATTATTTATACGTAGACAATGGAAAATTTGAAGCGTGTCTTTAATTTAAAATCAGCAATATAAGTGGTGAAATATTTCATTTTAAACCTTTAATGAGGATTTTCAATTGTTTCCTACAATTAAGCATCATCAATTAAACAAAATCAAAACAAATCGTAAATTGGATCTGATGTGAAGTGAATATAATCGTTTCCCCGATAGTGTTCATAGACAATAATATCGTTGTCCCCTTGTTTCAAAAACGGAGCCGGTAAGTATAAGGTTTGTTGAGGTCCCATTTTAGCATATCGTCCCAAAACAAAACCATTCACGCTCACAATCCCTTTGACCCATTTTTCCATATTGATATAAGTATCCTTAGGTTCCTCCGTTATTGTTAAGGTACTTTTGAAAAGTTTCGGCTCAGACAATTCATTTTCAGGCTCGTACGCTTCGATCCACGAATCTAATCGGTTAATCCAAGACTTTTTGAATTCAAGCGCTGAATGTTTCCAATCAGACACTGGTTGGTTATTAATTTCGATTCCTCCTTGCCAAAGGCCTTTGAATTGTTTATATGCCCCTCCTCCATTGACTCTGCCGGAGTTTTCCACAATAATATCAAGCGTTGCATTATGTAATTCTTGTTCGGTGAGTATTATCGTACCATTTTCCCGTTTCCATGTACCAAAGAGGTCTAAATTAGACGAAAATTCTATTATTCCCGTTAATCTTTTTCCATTGAGTAGAATTAGAGCAATATCGTTAGGTCTTCCTACTATTTTCAGTTCAGACCACGACAGTAAATCCAGAGTTTTGGAATATACGATGTATCCATAACTTTGTCCATTTCCATTATTGATATTTAACTGTTCCATGGAAACTGAATTAGACCTTTCTTCATTTGGCAAGGAATCCAGAATACTAGTAATACCTATTTCATGAGTTATAGGTATGCTTGGATATGTTATTCTGGATACAAGTTCAGGCATATCTGGAGTAAATGTTGCCGGATTTTGGTTATATTTAGCTAATAATTCCTTGGCGGCATAATATTTTACAGTATAATCTCCATTTTCTGATAATATAGCATCATAATCGTAGCTTGTGGTGACTGGGCTATATTCTAAAAATAAGCATACCAAATATAAATTTGCTTTATGTTTATATTTTATTTAATTACTTACTTTCATTTGAATTGCTGGCTCCATTTAAAAACTGGAAATTTGTACCACCGATAAACATGTAAATATTTGCTGAAGCTGGGTATGTTAATATTTCGGTATAAATTTGCCTGAAATTATCCAATGTTCTGGTTTGGTGCGTTTGGGCTATATAATCAAACCATCCTAAAAAAAATCAACGTCATCATCAATTCAATACCTACTCTTTCATTTTGAGAGTGAAAGAAAATACATTCAGAAAGTCAATATAAAAACAAATGAAATGCTTGGAAAAGTTATCATTTACCTGACCAAAATTCCATGGCCATTTTCGGCTTTCCAGGCTGATACAATTCAAGATAGTTTAAATTTCCAGTTCCATTAGTGTTGAAGTTTCCAGTCATTAAAAATAACTCGGGTAGGGTACCAGCTGTACCTCTCCATGGATTGTCTGAAGTCACCAATAATTCAACGATTCCTGAAAACATAACAGTAATCGATAATTCAAAATTGTTTTTGAAGATGAAATATTCACTAGTTTGCTTACCATTACCCAACATCAGTTGCCTTAATTCTCTGAGATATTTTTTATCCTTTCCACCAGTGCTCGCGAATTCGTTTTCTACTTGTAATGCTATTATAGGCCCTCCTTTTGTGAATTGATGTTTAGCCAATATTGGCAGTAAGACATTGAACCATCTGAAATTTATCAGATCGAGAAAAACTCTTGAAGTTTTTTATAAACGCACACTATACAGAGTGTATCAGGTTTGACTACAGAAATTTAAACACGTAAAAATATGGCTCATTTTGAAAAAAAAAGTTTACACAACATGGGGTCCAAATTCAACCATTTTTAAGAAAATGTCCTTTGAAGTTTTGACATTTTTTGACAAATATTTGAAAGAAAAATTTAGTAAGATAGAGCAGAGATGTAAAAGAATTTAGTTCATCCAATAAGTAATTAGGTATGCATTTCTAGTCAACAACAATAGTGAAAAATTGAAAAAACAACATGAATATTTTACTCGTATTTCGGTATCTAAACATCTGGCAAGATAGCATAGAGAGAACCTTGGTTGAACTGATTATCTTGATTTGTTTTATCATGTCAATTAGTTAAAGTATTGAAAACTCGCGTAATTCATTCTTTTTTGGAAATAAAATGTTTACAAACGTCGAATATGCAGATACTTGTTTAGGCTGAATAGTTACAAAATGCTCATTCAGCCGCCAGAATTTACAGGGAAAGATTTCCCAATAAAATGGCACCCATGAAAGAAATTTTGCCCGTTTTCCAAAGATTCCGTGATATGGGAAGCGTGAGGGTGCAAAATCTTCGTGATGATTTGGCGTTGATTTTTACAGCTGTATGCAATATCCTCTTTTAACTTAAAAGCGCTTTTTAAAACAGGTATCTTCAAAAATTTGTTGGTTTAGAATACACATGATGCCATAAATGTGTGGGTCTACAGTGGCGGACCTAGACCCTGGGATGACGCAAAAACATTTTTGGGGCCCTGTCTCAGACTGTTTTTGAAGTTTTTTAAAGCCAAATATAAAAACAAATTTAATTGAACCACAGGTTTATCAAGAACATATGAGACAAGATTATGAAAACAAGTTAAACAAAAAAATGTTCGAAATGTTTCAAGTCACAGCCACTATTTCCCTTGGCAGGCGCTGCGTATTTCCAGCTAAATTGGTTGGTTAACTAACACCTACTCCACCTAAGGCGGGTATTACAAAGCTATTTTGACGGAATAACTAAATGTTAACTTCTGGAATGACGCTACTGCTCAGTAACTGCAGGAGTTAACTGTCAACTTTCAGTTATCTGTCAAAATAGTTTTCTAATACTCGCCCTTAGTACACACACAGGGCACCAAAAACAAAAACTAAAAAGCACCTCATTGTACTGTCCGTACTCCACCGACCAGTGCCGTAAATTATCTCTTGATCTCTTTCAAAATTTAATTTTCGTTTTTTTTTTTTTATATTTATGAGTTAATTTTTTTTCAATCATTTTTATCGATGCCTTTAGAATTCGGTTGTATGGGGACCCCTTAGCTTTGGGGGCCCGACGCAGAGCGCGTCGTTTGCTTCATGATAGATCCGCCACTGGGTCTATTGAAGGATTGACAAGTTTGGTAATGACCGGAGAACCACGCAACTTCCTCTTACAACACCAAACAAAAATTAAACAGATCTGTAGGGTCGTGGTGCCTTAGTTGGTTAGAGCGTAGCACCGGCAATGCTGAAGACGCGGGTTCGAATCCCGCCAATGACCAACATTTTTAAATCTCTAATTTTCTCCAACTTTCTCTTCATTTTCAATTTAATAGGACAGTTTGAGCTTGAAATGAGCCATATTATCTCATGTTAAAATTTTTTTACTCATACCTGATACTCCCTGAGGAAAAAAGAACGCATCAAATCTAACTAATATAACTTGAAATAAATGATTAAATAGATAAAGGTCCTCTTGACCATATGCGCAATTGACTAAAACTGGTCGTTCCAAGTTTTCCTAACCCCTAGGTCTGCGCAAAGCTCGGAAAAACCAGCATGGCTGTCTATGCTTATAAAAATTTTATTTTTAAAACAATTATTCCATATACATCATGAATACAAGAGAGCCGAAAGACAAACTAGTTGGGAAGGACATCTCAGATAACCAACGACCAGGAATCGAAAGACGTTGAACATTATAAACCGATAACTTTATACATAATTTTATTTTTTACCTGGTAACATGATTCATGTAGAGTTCATTAGAGCTTCTCACGGTGAGTTTATCTTCCCTCAAAAGCCAACTCGGAAATCCACCAAATTCGAATTCTGCGCAAATATATGGTCCAGCACGCACTATCATAAATAAATCCTCCGATTTAGCTAGCTCAATAAATTCTTCTAGATTGAGAAAGTCTTCCAGTTCCGAGCCTCCATCACCGAAATCATAGCTTCCTTTGTAAAATATTGTTCAATACTAAACATTAGCGAATTTTGATGCTTACCTTGTTCAGGTTCATGTAAGTTCCAAGCAATATACGTCTCGACAGTATTAAATCCCAAGGCTCGAAGTTTTCTGAGTCTATCTTGCCAATAAGCCCTTGGCACCCTAAAATAGTGGATGGAACCACTGTAAATTGTGATATTTTTGCCATTCAAAAGGAAATACGATTGGTTGGCTGACAATCCAGACATAATACCATCTGACGTGTAATACTCATAATTTGTTGGTAATGCCGTAGCGGTCCAAATACCAACAAGAAAAATTATAGAGGAAAGACGAAGCATTTCAAATTATGAACTGTGTGGGAATCTCAATTATAAATAAATTCCGCAGTATAAATACTTTTTTGTTTATTGATAATCTATTATCAATTAATTTTAAGTAGCAGTTGAAGTGTTTTCAGTTTAGAAAAAAATTATATCTTATGTGTAAGGTACGTACAGGGTGTTTGTTTATAACTGGAACACTCAGTAACTATTGGGGTACTAGGGAGATTCGTGATGATCAAGATGGATTGCTCTGTGACAAGTGCGATAAATGGAAACATCGAGAATGCATGTCAATGTCACAAAAAACATAATATAGCCAAATAGTTGTACATTTGATTTTCCTAAAATACAGGGTGTTCCCAAACTATTGTGCCAGAAATTGAAGAATGATAGATCTCACCAAAATAATAGTATATTCTTCAACGAGCATATAATGAGCCGAAGGCGAGAAAATCATAAGTTTTTGTAAGAAATAACAATCGCAAAAGTCTAAATCCGCCTTAATTTTTTTAAATTCAAAGTTTCGTGATCTGACAGTAGATGTCAGTCATGTTTTGTTTGTATTGTCTCGTTGCGGCCCGCGTATTCCGAAAATACGGAAAATTTGATTGGTCGACAGGCCGTGGATTCCGGTTTGGAATCCACGGGGCGTGTAGAATTCGTATCATTAATCAGTTTAATATCGAGTAAGAATGAACGTATTATTTAATGTTCGAAGAGAAACTTTTTTTACTTATAAACCCATAGGCGCATGCGCTTTGGTTAGGTGATAATACCACATTACAGTCCGCACTGTGGTAGCCACCTTACATACCGAGAAACGTGTTTGCATAAGCAGAACTTGTGTTATTGAATAATACAGAACCCAAAGAATGCTTGCAGTATTTATTTAAAATAATGACTCACATCAAGAGATGCTCAAAACTACGACCACTCGCCTCAATGCATGTGTAACAACGTTGTAGCAGAAATATCAAGTAGATTTCTGCAGGAAACCCTTCCCGAAACTGTTTCCCTGTATGCCAGACAAAACATAGGGTACCAACACAAAAAAACACCACCACATTACTTGTTAGCCTTAAGGGAACATCTCAAAGAAACATCTGGAAAGAGTGATTATTAAGGGCGCAACTACTGCATGGACTCCACGTTCACCAGACCTGACGGAATGCGACTTTTTTCTATGGGGTAATATGAAAGCTCTTGACACAGCTAGGAGGATTAAGTAGAACACCATGAATTTTTCAACGTATTCAGGAGGCTATGCTACGGCACTGTCACGCACGTATGGAGGTGGGTGGGTTGTAGCTTTGAGCATCTTCTGTTGTGAATCATTGTTTTTAGTAAATACTGCAAGCATTCCTTGGGTTTCGCATTATTTAATAACACAGTTTCTACTTCAAACACGTTTCTCCGTGTGTAAGGTGGCTATCATAGCGCGACCTGTAATGTTCTATTATCACATAACCAAAGCGCATGCGCCTATGAATTTATAAGTAAAAACCGTTTATTTTGGCGCGATCTATTATAACGTTAGTTGTTATAATCTAACCTAGTAGGGATTCTCCGGCTACCTCAAAAATAGAATAGTCCTACTAAGTTATTGCATGAGACTCTAAGGGCTGTAATTTCTTGTTCTGTTGGATTATAGTAAACACCTCAATGAAAGACAGATATAACATTTACTCAAGTATATATATTATTATATGATTTAAATATTACAGGAAATAGGAGAGTAGTAGGTACCTACAATTTAATATAAACTGATAAGAAAACTCGTTCCTTCAATTAAAAAGGTGCACCCCATAGATTTAATAAATTATTCACTCTCGGTGATATCAATAATACCCTAAGGTTCAACTCCTATAATGATAAATTAGGAATCAAAAATACCTACTTATAAATGTAAAACTTTGGCGAGCTAAGCTCCCACTTGAATATTATAAACAATTAGACAAGATCCGTACACTTACGGTTAATGACTTAGTCAAGTACTTGAATTTTTGGAATTTCCCTTGATTCGAGAAGAAGAATAGCTAAAATTATCTTACTTGATACGTCGTTCATAATTACTTCTAGTTGACTTGTGTGTGTGTGACTGCGTGACTGGGTTTCAAACTAGGGTTGCCAGACCTCCTATTTTTAATATGAGACTCATATATTTGAATTGTTTCTCATATCTCATATTAGCATGTTTAATATGGGACTATTTCTCATATATTTTCATCAAAAAAAAAAATGAAACCATGTATTTCATTTTATCACTACCATACACGTGATAGGCCGGAGCGTTCATTAGTCTCACGCCTTCGTTATCCGACCGTCCGATTGTACGAGGGAGCTCCTATTGGCTGTTTTTCCCGCCACATTTTATCCGAATATTTTCAACTTTTCTCCTACTTCGGACAAAGTTGAATTGAAATAATTTTAACTTCTTCCGTTTTTGGATCGTCGTTTTTCACCTCACTTTTTGACTCACCGATGGTGAACAGTAAAATGTAAACAAAACAATAAACCAATTCCTAATTTGCGTTTTAAGCTTAAACTGGTTGATAATGGATCTTCAAATTCAAATATTTTACTTTTAAAAACAAAACGATTTTGAGTGAGACTGACGGATCGGATCAGGAGGAGTCTTTAACTACCTAAAAGAATGTCCAGCAATACAATCCAAGATCTGGTAGAAGTCATGGCTAATTGTCAAGATGGGAGCTTTCTCGGATATGGGTATTTTGCAATAGATAAAATATTCTCATATATTATTATCCAATCTCATATAATATTTTCAAAACTCAAATATCTGGCAACCCTATTTCAAACCAGAATAGGCCTGACGGAAGAGGATTACAACTTGTAACTTCGCTGCAGCAGTCCTCGACTCGAAGCTCGATATATGAATTCAAAACGACGACACGGGCGTCACGGGGATTGGCCCCTCGTCTAAATTACTTGTGGATTCAAAAACTTGAAACTTGAAAACCCCCGTAGTGTGGTGCCTCTCTCCTAACTCGGACAACGTAGTTGCCGGGTGGCAAGAAATCCTATAAGAAGTTATAAAGAGACTTAATCCCGTTGCTTAAATAGTCAGGAAACCTTAAGACCAGTGCGTTCAGCACTGATTAAAGGTGTAATATTTATTGAAATTGTAAATTTATCTTGTATTAAAGAATTTTAAAAAAAAAAAAAAAAGCCAAAATTGTCTTCCAAGTTAGTAATGATCGATTTTGAAGAAGCCAGAATAATTATTCCAGACTATCAACTGAGAAAGTGTGCCTTGGTATTTGGAGCGCAGGCATTCAAGAGATCGTTATATTTGACTTCATAGCATTATACCCTTTTCGCTTTTAAGTCGCCACTGTCGCCAGCCTCTTCTAGCTTAGCAATGACCTGATCCTAGATTTTTCCAGAATAATACTTATCCAAGGTTTTTTCCTCTTCATCGAAGTGGTCTTTAAATTCGCTGCACTAATATCCTGTCCATGTCCAGGTTTCCATGCACAAAATTATTTTTCGCTGATTTTTCAAGTGCCAGAAGCATTTGCTCTTGATCCCACTTTCATGAGGCTTCCTCTAAGCAAAGGATTGAGGTGAGCTTATGGATTTCCTTTGCGTGTTCTATTTTGAGTTACTTCTTTGGTTCTATTGCCTGAATATTCAAAATTATCAGGCTTTGTTCGGGTTTGAAAAAAGGACGATTTAAGAACGGTTGAAAACAATCGCACAGTTCTTTTTCCACCGCGCTCAGGATTTTAATAAGACGTAGCAAATTGATGTTATTTGCACTCAACCAAATAGTAGCATAAATAAAAAGAAGTTGTTCTTTGATTTAATGAACAATTCATTAAAATCGGTCCAAAGAACGGCTTTTTGATCACATGAACTCTACGTTATTGAATGATGAACAATTTCTTAATTCCTATTTCGATCCATCTTGTGTATGAACAACGAACATTAAGGTATGTAGCAAGGTTTTAGTATTAATGAAACTTTTCATAGTAACAATAAACATCGTTCTTAGTTTATATGTACTTTTTCATTGTCCTGATGAACAGACGGCATAATATTGATGAAGCCCAGATATAATTTAATGAAACCCTTTCATTGTATTTATGAATCACAGTCTTGAATACTGAGAATTTCATTCATTGTATTTATTAATGACGTTTTCAATAATATGTACCATATTCTTTATTTTTATTAAAATAATTTCATGAATTATGCCTTAAATATACTTATGATTTTAAATGGGGTAAAGGGTAATTTTTTATATTTGCGTGTCCCCTGTACTGATGAATCTGAGCAATAGGAAAAAAGCTTTTAATGCAAAAGTTGCATGGTTCCTTCGTATCATCTTCCAGAATTGTCAAACAAACCAATGGGCATCCCAAAATCTGAAAATTTAAAAATCTAAGTACCTACTTATGTATTTTTATTTTAAATGACACTAACCGTATATTCTACTATCTTTCAAATCCTCCTTAAATCCTGTTTCCATAAATATATAAGATATCTATGTTTGTTCCAGCTGGTTTTGAACTATCAACATCCAAAGTTTCTAAAACAAGCCACATCAGAAAATTAGATTTGATGCCTTGGCTGGTTTCCTTGCCTCGGCTATGAAACACTAGCTGCGGCATTGAATCTTCTGCTTTTCTACCTAGGGAAACAAAACCATTTAACAAAAATATATCGATGAAAAAAATTACAACTTGATTTGAGATTGGGTATACTTACTTTTAGAGACTTCAGTATTCCTTAGAAATTCTGAGGAGCTCTTGACGCTTTTGTCTTTCACGTTCTCCCCGGATGACATTTAAATCTGTAGGTCATTTCTTTCGCATTCCCATTTTGAGACTAGACCGTCTCCGTGCAAGGCATCAAAGTCCTACCTACATAATAGGTATACATATTATAGAGGTAATAGAGGTATAACTTACCTTTAGAAAAAACCGGCGACAGGTATAACCGACTTTCTATTTAATACTTCGAACAACACAAAACCGAAAAAACCGACTTCAACGAAGTACGTAGCAATGCACCCAG